TCAGATATGAAACTCAACCATTTTATGACATGCATATTTAAATTCATAAAACGCGAAAAATAAAAATGAAACAAAACTTGATTTCCCAAGTGACATACACTTTTTTTTTAGCAAAAACACCAACTATTTTTCTTAGTTATATGAGATAAATAGCATATAACTTACATTCACTTACTTATATTAATTTACTGCTAAGTAATTCGGGCATGCATATAATTCAAAGTTCTCAAATAACAAGAAAATACTTTATTTGTTTGTCCACTTTTTATTTTCTGTGCCTATGAAAAATGTATAGTGCCTTAAAGCACACCAGTTCACAAATTCCATGGTAATAATCCTTTAGACATTTCCTAGTGTGTGAGAAAAGTTCTAAAAATAATACTAATATGAATATTGAAAGGAAACAAAACATGTATATATGAACACCAAGGTCATAAACAAAATACATGTCAAGCAGCATTTCAAGGGGAGTCTCATGCTTTCTTCGAAGTGACAACAGAAAAGTAAGTAAAGACAAAGAAATAGTCACAAAACAAAAAGCCGAGATAATGAGTTAAGGCACAGATTTCACTTTGCTGATCAGTCTACGGATAAATTTAACAAGTCAAACACATAAGACAGCTCAAAGTATGTACAGAACAATTTCAATACCTTAAATGTACGCAGTGTGATTATTTTACAGGGGACATTTCCAAAATAAGAGCCCTTGAAAAAATGACTCCATTAGGGTAATGTAATCGGGCACGGCAACTGTCAGTGCAGGCATTATTTGATGATCAGGGTTCCCTGTTTTGGGGTTTCACCGCCTTTCAATGCAGAGATGTTTTTTAGAGTTCAATTTTTCCCCACAGATTCAGTGTATTTCGGGGCCTATTTTCGGTATCAATAAGACATCTGAATTTATGGGACCTTACGCACTGAAGGAAGTGGGGCACAGTTGTGTGATTCCAAAACCTCCGGAGAACATACTTGTGAGCTGAACATTTGGAAGCTTTCCGGACACCGTAAAAGAAAAGAAACAAGAAATGGGTGTGGTTCCCGGAGAAAAAAGCAGCTACGCTCACCACAGGCAGGTTCCGGGTTAACAAAACAAAGTTGCAAGTTCAAGCACTATTCTAAGTGCTTGAAATTTGAGTTTTTCGGTGTTCCCCGATTACAAGAAAACCAGTTCGGGGGTTACTTTTTGGGATTTATTGGTATATACCAAAAACACAAAACTATAGTTATGATCAGCTTGCAAGATGTGAGATAAATAACTACTGAAATGTAAACAAAACTCGTTAATCAAATATTTGACACATACTAATACGAATCTGTAGTCCACTGTCAAAATGGACCACAGCAGCTGGTAGAATTCACTAGACAAATGCTGCTTAATGTTAACCAGTGGCAAATTTAAAAGGCCAAGGGATTGTCGTGCTGCAACGAGGATAGAAAAGCATACTGAAAGCCCTGCCAGCAATAAGAGGGCATTGTAAGAGCTGATCATGAAGAGAATATTTCCCAGTTGCGTCCTCACAGGAAAGGTGCATTATGTGCTTTCCACTGTGTTTTCGTGTTGGAGAAAGGGCTTTCGGTGTGCTTCTCACTCCTGAGTTTTGGTATCGCGTGCCACGACAGCCGAAATTCCTTCACGACCAAATCAGTTTCTGGTCTATGACAGCGGTGGCCAAACTGAGGCTCGCAAGCTGCATGTGGCTCTTCAAGCCCCCAACTGCGGTTGTCATGATCTGAGAACTCCCAGATTAAAATAGTTGGAGTCGAGCACTAAGCTTGTTCGTGAGAAACAGTGAAAAACGGGTGCAAGACACGACATACAAAATTACTGGCCTGTGGTTTTTTTTAGATTGCAATGCAACTCCGTAATAAAATACCAAGATCACCGCTCTGTGCATACATGCAATTAAAAAATGGCTAAGTTGTATCGATCATCTGCCTCCTCTTGATAGAAACGTCTGGTTGACCAGGAACCGAAGATACACACCAATTTCGTTTTGAAACCGCGATTCATATATTAACCCAAACTAGAATGTCAAGGGATACCTAACATAATACCGAAGGCACGTGAAGGAGAATATTACTACCATATAACCCCCCACCTCTTCCTCCACATGGCTCACTAAAAATAAAAAAATTTTGCTGGAGGCTCTTGAGCACTGCGAGTTTGGCCGCCCTTGGTTCATGTTGTATTCAGGGTTCCGTGTTTTCGGTTAATACTGATAAACCCGGATAAATAACCCTTAAAGTGGTTTTATCGGAAAAGGTAAAAATCTAAAAACATCAAATTGGAGGCTGTCCTTGAATAAGGAGACCCCTAGTTTCGGGAGAAGATATCTCTATCAACAGCTTTTTTTTTTTTTTTTTTTTTTTGTTGACCCAGACAGCTTGCACTGACCCACGAGGCTCTGCTTTTTTTCTGACAACAGCCCTTATCTAGTTTCTTTTTATCAGTATTGGACCGTTCTCCAGACATCCCGAATTCGGGTCATGCTAATGTTGACTGTAGATTGGAAAAGCCCTCTGCCATGTCACTTCCAATAAACAAAGATTTCTTGCTGATAATAAAAATAAGCCCCGAAAAACACGGAATCCGTGGAAAAAAGTAAACACCGAGAAATACACTCCCGAATCCAAAAAAAACCCCTGAAAACACAGGACCCTAGTTGTAATTGGGACCTGACATCTGCCACAGCCAGCAACATAACACCCAAAAGCAGTTCAGTCTCGCTCTACTGTGTTCGGTATGTCACAAACATAAGCAGTGTCCTCAGAAACAAAGTCCATAAAAAGGCAAACTGAGGCAATGTCTACAACATCCACAGCGGTCAAGAATGATTGCCGGGAAATGAAACATTCCTTGATGTGATTAGGGAACCTCACATCAGACTCTATCTCCACAATCTTTTTGCAGAGCAACAGACATTTTGTTGCAGTGTCGGAGTGAACTTCTAAAATGCGCATGATCTTAATATACTCCTCTGTTCTCGTCTTCATGACGCTCGAGTCACTTTTCTTAGCTCTTGAGTACAGGCTGCTGTTGTACACCTTTCTTTCTAAAATGAACTGCGTGTGCTCAAGAGCTACAACAGGCAGTACTACGCCGGCCACCTCTAGTGCAGCTCCCTCGTCACATGTCAAGGTTCCCACAGCTGTGGGAGATCCCAGGATGCATGCACCGTCAGTGTACAAACACTGCGCAACCCTCTTAAAACTCAGCTTTTCATGGCAAATTTCCTTTGGGGCGTGAGGAGCTGCTGAAGTTCCTGCGCGGCCACAACTCTCTCAACTATCTGCATTGGTACCCCTTTGGCAGCTGTGACAGATTTGACAATGTTCCCATTCCCATTGTCAAACACGTTGCAAGTCATACACGACTCCATCTTGTAAAGACGCTCCACCTGTGCCACGAACCTCTGCAGGAGATGTCCTGGATACAAAAAAGGGAAATTATCAGGTTATGCTTGCCGATACAGTCACATAACAAGTGTCTGATAACTTACTACTGCAACGTCCCATTTCTCTTAGTTTGAACTCTACTTGCATAATAATGTTGACGGGGGCACTGCGGTCGTCGGAGCGAGCGGACGTGCTTCACATCGGCTCCCGCTTTGACGAGCCTTAAAAAGTGTCTAATTAGCCCAAATCTCTTTGATTTTGATGTAATTAGTTCAGTGGTGACGTGTGGAACCTGTGGACGCCATTTTTGGGAAGGTCGGCCCAGGACTTTTTGAATTAAGAAGCCTTCTTTCCGGGTAGTGGCCGAGGGCCGCAAAGCCTCACCGTACGAGCCCGCCAACAGCGGGTCTTCATCGTTGGATATGGCGCCTAAAGTGAGCATAAGCTCTGGAAATACTGTCGTTGAGGTCCCCGGCATGGATCTCGACCCCGAGGACTGCGCGGGATGGCTCCACGTGAAAATTGGCAAGAAAAACGAAACTTTGAAAGCTAAGCCTACCGCGCGGGTTGCGCGCCGAGCGATAGCGACGGCTACCGGGGAAGCGAGAATGCCGGGGATTCTCCCCAAGGAGGGAAAAAAAATCATCGTTCGACCCTGAGGAGGTTTGGACTTCGCCAGAACACCGGTGGTCACAGTAATTGCGGCGATAAGAGCGGCGGCCAACCTCTCGCCAACCGAGACCATTCCTGTCACCCAATGCCCGAACGTGCAGCAAAATATCATGGTGATCAGCACGCCGGACGAGCTCCGGGCGAGAAAATACGCAAATGTGAAAGGGATCAAGATCGGTGGCAAAACTTACGAGGTGAGCGCAAACGCGGCCGCGCCAAACGGCACGGTGAAAGGCGTGTGAAAGGGATCCCGCTTGAGGACTCGGCGTCAACAATATACTGTGACTGTTTTGAACATGAGGAACCCAACGGCGCGAGCAGCGCAAAGATTCTGCTCGTCAACGACCATCATCGTGGCATTCGAGGGACCGAAGGTACCCAATTACGTCTACTATGGAGGCGGACTTCTGCGGTGCACCCTCTACCGCAAACACATTGACGTCTGTCGAAAGTACGGGAAGGTGGGTCACCGGGCGGACGTCTGCCCTACGCCGGAAGCTAACATCTGCATTGGCTGCGGTGCAGCGGATAGCCAAGGGCACCTATGCACGCCGAAATGCAAGCTCTGCGGCGGTCCCCATGTCACAGGAGACAAGGAATGCAAAAAAAAAGTTCAAGACGCCGTACATCATCAGGCGAAGGCAGTGGGAACGCAAGACAACAGTTTCGGCGGGAAACCAATAAAAGGCGGGACAACAAGAAAAGGTGGGAAAGGGGATTCCCCCGAAGGGAATGGAGAACTTCCCACAGTTGCGCGCCTCGCGCTCCAGATCACCATCACGTCAGTCATCGCACTCGTGGAGCAGAAGCGCAGGTGGCAAAGTAACTTGGGCATAGGTGGCTGAGCCAGACAACAAAGAAATGAAGGCGCTTAGGAAGCGAACCCACAGCAAGCTGACAAGATCGCCGAGCAAGAAGAAACGATACGACGTATGGCAGCCGATACAGCAGCGATGAAAGAAATGATGCAGAAGATGGTTAACAAGAACCAAGCAGCGGGTGCAGAGGAACCGACCGAAACTGCGGAGGAACCTCCGGCAAAGCGAAGAAGCACAGAAACGAGTCGCATCCGCCGACTGGAAGAACACCAAGACAGATTTGAGAAAGTCCTCCTGGAGTGCATAGACAAGATCGAAGAAGGTTGCCGAAACATGGAAACCCGCTTCAATACGCTCATTGCCACGGTCACGGAACGATTGGACACCATAGCCAACCTCAAACCTTCGCAGCAATGGCAACAACATTAAAAGTATGGATCTGAAACTGCCGAGGCCTCAAAAACAAGAAAGCAACACTGCTGCAGCACATCAGGAATCAAAAACACAAACCGGACGCGATACTGCTGCAAGAAACAATAAGCCAAGACCCAAAACTCTCGGGATACAGAGCCCACGCGAAAACATTGGGACAGAAACAAAGAGGGATATGCACACTCGTCCGAAAGGGCATCTATTCGCTAGAACACGATTGCAAAGGGGACCCAAAACTCGAAAAGCAAGCCATCGAAATCTTAGCGGGGAAGGAAGGCATCTTCTTAACCAACGTCTACAGCAACCCCAAGCAAAGCAGACAAAGTTTCAAGAACCTCTTCCACAAGAGGCTTAGGAGGGCTGGGGACAACACGCTCGTCATAGCGGGAGACTTCAATGCACCGCACACGGGCCTGAGGCACCACACCACCTCGCGCAAAGGCCGAACCCTAATACAATACGCGACCGAAGCCGACCTACAACTAATCACAGACCCTAGATATCCAACCCTCGTGGGAAGGAAGTCGACGGACAGGGACACCACACCCGACCTGGTCTTCACCAACGAGGAAGAGACCAGCTGGACAAATACAAATGAAGACCTGGGGAGCGACCACTGCATAGTGGAAATCATCATCCCGCTAAAAGGCAAGACCAGACCAATCAGGAAATTCAACTACACCAACTGGGACGCATTCAGACAATTGGCGCCCACGGGAAAGATCGAGGACATCGAAGAATGGACGCCAGACCTGCAAAAGGCGACCACAAACGCATCTCGAGAAATAGAAACGACCGAAGACACCAAAGGCAAGATGGACAGCAGGCTGGCGCATTTCGTCGAAGCCAAGCAATCTATCCTCACCCGATGGAAGAAACAACGACTAAACAGAAGTCTGAGGAAAAAGATTGTGGATATCAACAGAGCAATCCACGAACACTGCAAGAAACTATCGGCACAGCAGTGGAAAGACACGTGCGACACGGCCGACGGGCAGATACTCAACGAAGCATGTGGCACCTGCTCCGACACCTGCCAGACGAGACAAAAACCAAGGGATTCCAGCACAACAGACTCGCGGGCCTAATCCAAACGGCACTACAAGAGCTAGGTGAACGAGAAACCAAGAAACGGCTACTAGATAAGTACCTCCCTGTCACGGAGAAGGAACTACACCCAGACTACGACGGACAGTCAAACGAAAAGCTAGACAGAGATCTCGAGGTGTGGGAAGTAAAGGCAGCTCTCGAGAAGGTGAACAGCAAATCAGCTGCAGGGCCGGTTAAGGTATCAAACAAGACCCTCAGAAACTTGGGCGAAGACACGATCGAAGCCCTCACGGAATACTACAACAAATGCTGGAGGGAAGGCAAACTCCCGAAACAGTGGAAAACAGCAAAGATGATACTACTCCCAAAGCCAGGAAAGCCCCCGGGTATCGAGTACCTCAGACCCATCTCGCTAACCTCGTGCGTGGGCAAGGTACTCGAACACGTCCTCATGACCAGATGGCAGCGACACCTGAAAGGTAATGGTCGCTTCCGGGACACCATGTTTGGATTTCGCGAAAGACTCTGCACGCAAGACGCGATGGCACTAATCAAATGGGAAGTGGTGGACGCCAAAAACAAGGGAAGAGCCCTGCTAGGGCTCGACCTACAAAGCGCGTATGACAAAGTGAAGCACTAGGCAGTCCTCAAGAGAGTCAACGAGCTGGGGCTCGGACTCAGAAGCTACAACTACATCAGAGACTTCCTCACGGGACGCACGGCAAAACTCCACGTCGGGGAACTGGATCTCGAAGAGCGAGAACTGGGGAATGTAGGAACGCCGCAAGGCTCCGTCATCTCCCCACTGCTCTTCAATCTCGTCATGACGAAGATCACCAGGAGACTCGGAACTCAAAAAGTAAAACACACGTTTGTGCGCACGACATCACGCTGTGGTCGACGAGCAACGACGAGCAACAAGCACAAGAAGAGCTGCAGACAGCGGTGTATGCCATCGAAGAAGAACTAGAAAGAACGGGCCTGATCTGCTCCCCGATCAAATCGGAGCTGCTGGTGATCGAGCCGAGAAGAACAGAATGGATCCACCTGAACTATTGGGACCACCTGATCCCAAGGGTCGAACAGATTCGAATACTTGGCCTGATCGTGGACAAGAGACGAAGAAACACTGAAACGATCAACAAGCTGGAAATCAAGACCAACGCGGCAATACAACTCGTCAAGAGGGTCGCGAATCGTGGGAGAGGGATGCGAGAGAACAGCTTGATGCGCATGGTCCAATCCTTTGCGATAAGCCACTTGGCATACGTCGCAGCTTTTCACAACTGGAAATTCAACGAGAGAAGAACGCTCAACAGCATGATAAGAAAAACATACAAGAACGCACAAGGCCTGTTCGCAAACACCCCCTTAGCAAAAAGAGGCCGTACTTCAAACGAAGTTGAAATATATTTAGTACGAATATTCATTTTGTATTTATTCTGTATTATTTTGGCCGCATTCGAAATACGCGCGTAATGTATTCAAAATACATTATAAATATGAATAAAAAAATAGTTTAGATATACCAAAAATATTATTCCTTCACACTCAAGATGCCATTTGTGGATTAAAAACCGGTTACACAATTTTTTTTTATTTTCGATTTTGTCAGCAAATGGTGTCCCTGTGGTATTTGAAGGCACTACTAAATACATCTCACAAAGCCACATTAGAAACGAACACAAATACAAACACCATGACGCACTGAAGAGCTCATTGACAGTCCCGTTCACTGCTCTAGAGCCTTATATAGCCTACATATTGAAGGTAATAATTTTTTCGGTGACCACCTCTGCGCTTAATAAGGTTACAAGTATTCGATCTTCTCCTCGGGAGTCTGTCAAGGGGGAAACAGTGTTTTGAAGTTCGTGGACGATATCTCTTACTAAAAGGCATTGGTACAACTAATAACAATTCGGCACAGTCCCTAAAAAAATATCCACACAAGCGGCTCATAAAATACATGTTATTGCTTCTCTGCGTAGCACCACTCAGGGCGAAGCGAATCAAGGCAGTTTCTTCACTTTAAAATACTGTAAACGACTTTATTTTCGTGAGGACTTAATTCTCGCAAAGTTGGCGAATCGCCGACAATTCCGAAAAATAGGTCCCGTGAACAATTCCGGTAAAATGTAAAAACATTAAAATCTATATTGCGATCCCAGCGCGTCGCGAAAATTAGAATTTGCGAATTATTCCAAAACTCCAACCTTGACCTAAATCGCGAAATATTGAGCCCGCGAAAAATAAATATTTTACAGTAGTTGTTTTGCCTTTCCTTTTTAGTAGTTGACAATTTAATATGGTAGTTAATGTCACTGAATTAAAGTCACTATTCACATCACGTACAATGGTGAGTATACACGTTCAGTGAACTAACATTGTGCTAACAAAACCACGCCAAACGTATCTGTTCACAGCACCTGCTGAAGCTTTCCAGCATCAGCAAATGTTGTGGTTGTAGTTCCCGAACCCCGATTGTGATTGGTGTGCAAGGAACTGATCAGGTGTGTTCTTGATAGAAAAAAGGAAACAATAACATAAACTGGGCTGATTTATCAGGGCGATGCTGCGCAATTCAATTGCCAAACTAATCAAATGTATTTAGGCGCTTCAGTGTACCCATATCTGCTTGAAGTGAACTTCAGAAGGGGAGCTTTTAAATATTTTGGTAGTTTAAGTCAAACTACCAAAGTATTGCAGTCAAAAGGTACTTAGAGTATAACACAACAGTATTTACGATTTTCAGGTATTTTAAGAGTATTCTGCACGTATTCTTGATTGCTCCATTTTTTTAGGGTTGGAGTATATTTTGCATGAATTAAATAAATATTTCAAGAAATATATGCGAAAGGTATTTTGTGCCTATTAATTTAGTATTTATATATTTCGAAACGCATGAAGGGAACTTCAAATGTAGTTTAAGTAAAGGTATTTTAAAATGATTTTTAGAAGTATATTTTAGTACTAAGTAACAAAAAAAGAAGTTTATATTTTCGGTATATTTTTCGTGTACTTACAATTATGAATTGTATTTCAAATACACTCAAATTAGAATGTGGTATATTTCAAACGTATTAGTTTTCGCTAAGGGCCAGCACCGAAAATATGAAGTCACTGGGACTACACAACAGACTCGAAGAGCTAGTCGCAGCCCAAAAAACGGCGCAGGTCGCGAGACTCGAAAAGACCAGAACGGGAAGAGCGACGCTAAGAAGACTAAACATCGAGACCCAAACACGACCTGACGACAAGACGATCTCCCCCGTGGAGATGAACAAGCTGGACGTCAGACCAAAACCAAGGTACATGCATTCTCAACACGGCGCAGAGAGAAGGAAAGCAAGAGCACAAGCCCTCACCAAGGACCACGCAGAAGACGACCGCGCAGAAGACGACGAACCACGCAGAAGGCACAAGCCCTCACCAAGGACCACGGCGACCACTTCGTGGCGGTGGTCGTGAAAGCCTGCAACGGCAAGCTGGTGACGGCAGCAAGCATAAAGACACAAGTGCGAGTAGCAGAGGAGGTGGCCATAGCATTGGCGGCCTCTTTGCCCACAGTCACAACGGTGTTCAGTGACTCCATGACGGCCAGCAGAAACTTTATGTCAGGGGGCGTGAGCTCAGAGACAGAAAGGACGCTAAGAAGAGACTGTCGGACCAGGGTAACAATCAGGTGGATCCCGGCGCACGAAGCCGGAAACGCGGTGGCGGACACGATGGCTCGCGCGTTACTTGACCGAGCCAGCCGCCCACCCCCGTACTAGGAACCTTGCGAATGCGGTCAGCTACTAAGAATGTACAGGTTAGACAGACAGGAGCTCCCGCCGCCCCATCCAAACTTAACAAGGAAGAAAGCGGTCACGTTCATACAGCTACAAACGGGGAGCATGCTAACCCCGGTGATAGGCAAGCACGTACTACCAGAGTTATACCAGGAGGACACCTTTGTGCTATGCAAAAACGCCCGGGCTACGTTGAGCACATCGCGTGGGACTGTACGACGAGACTGGAGGAAGCCAACCGAGAGGCTGACCTCCCACCGGAACTCAAAGAAGCCATCGGCAAGGAAGACTACGAGCACCAGCTCCGGGCCGTCCAGCAGATCACGGTGCTCCCCGAGAGGCAGAAGCCCTCGAAGCCGCCGTCGAAGACGTGAGGCCGCGTCCAATTAACCGTTAGGTTTATTGCTGCAGGTACAATAAAAGTTTTCACACACACATAATAATGTTGACGCTTACAAAACTCAATCGTGTTTTTAGAAAACATTTCTTTATGAACAGCAAATTAAAGGAAAGCTTTTGTCTCAATGAAAAATAACATTATTTTATTGCCATCGGATGTATTCAGATATTCTAAGCATGTAACCTGTCCTTGTGCATTTACAGAATGTGTGAAAGTTGTGTAAAGCGCGCGATGGAATTTTATTGACGAGAGAAACTAAAATTTGATGGCACTGGAGCACATTTATGAAAATAGATCCTTTGCAAAGATCCCAAACGCCGACGCGCGCCGCACGACAAATAATGGGAGCACTCGGTATGCCCCTCCAATCGTCTTTCCTACCGCTACCATGCGGGATACGCGAGCAGTTGCGGGTTATTATGGCAACGACGTTCGAGCACCCCAGAGCCGAGTAGCCGAGTCGGAACATCGGACGAGCGACGAGCGCATGGGGGACAGGGTCTGCCCCTTTTTTCACACCTTTCTTTTGTACCGCACCTCCTCTGTCGTCTGCTGCGCCAACGCTTTGTCGAACCTAGTCAAACCCTGCCACGGTCGCGGTGCAAAATAAGTGGATTCTGTGACGCCGCAAGACATGAATGTAAGTTTATAATAATAATAATTATTCCTTTATTTTTCCAACAAAAAGTTGAAAGGTGACTAAGGAAAAAAGCTGTAAAAGCAGCTGACTGGCCCCTAGCCTACCCAAACAAGCAGTCGCAAAGCAGGCACCAGAGGAATTATACAATGAAACTATTACAAATTCATAAACAAAATAAAAAATCATCACACAAAAGAAACAGCGTTT